CCTACTTTGACTTCAAAGGGAGAGAGGGGGATGATGCTCTCATTTCTGTAAATGAACCTTGATGACTCCACAGAAACCACTCTTTCCTTGGTCCAGGTTGTTGAGCCAACTGGCCGAAACATGACAATATATCCAAATCCCTCACCATTCTGTAGTTCTTCTGGAATTGACTTGGGCAGAATGTAATCAATCACTAAATATTTGCAAAAATGTATCATTGCGCTAATATAAATGTTCACTGATTATTATTATTTTTTGTAGAGACAAATGCGTATTTACCCTGTTAATGAATTATTGAAAAAATAGTACTTTTATTGGAATGTCAATTAGAAAAATGATCCCAATTAAAGATATTCAGACAAGTAGTTGAAGCTTTTAAATGGAAAATATAAAACAGGCTTTACTGTTTTATATCTTTTTCCATGATTATTCATAAGTTGTAATAATAAAATCATTTAGAAGATTGCAAGTTTTTAGAAGTTAAAACATAATGTTGATATGAATCTTTAAACAGCACAAAATTAACTTATTAACCATTTATTTCAAGCCTAGATATGTTTTACTTTCACAATATTTTTCAACAAATTATTGTAAGACATGAGTAATATAATTCTTGTGTAATAATAAATACATTAAGACATACAGAGTATTTCTTTATAAAAGAATAAAGGATTTCTAGTATTTTTTTAAACATACATATTCACTTGTAGTAATATCAATATGTATTTTTCTAAAATATAAATAGCTAACTCCCACAGAGACCAAACTCTACAAAATACATTTAAAACCTAAAGTTATTAAAATTACAAAGTAGAAATATGTACATGTTCCCCAAAATGCTGCAGATATTAAAAATTATGCATAATCACACAAAATAAGCAAATGAAAATGAATCTGTGCTTTGAATTTAGACAAATACTCCACCTAATTACAAAAAATGTATAAAAAAATCAATGTAGTTTATTTTGTTTTTCTAAAGGAAAATGAAAAATGCTTTTCCTTTCTCTTTTTTTTCTGTAAATATTTTCATAGACTAATAAGGGCATACCTGAGTCCCTCATGCCCATAACTCCATTTCTGTTACTTCCTTACCTATATCCTGCCACTTGGAACACATCTGGTTACCCAGCTATGGTACCAGAATCAAAGATAACCATCTTGGTCAGTATCTTTGAGGTGTTCTGATGCAAAATCTCTGGACCCTATAGTGATTAATGAACCCAACCAATTCCTCTCCCTTGCGAAGTTTGTATATGAGACACAGAGGAGGAAGCTAAAAAATAGATAGCATAAAGCAGACAATAACTAGAAGCTATGACACCTTGATTGGTGGATAAGAGCTACCATTGCTAACCAGAAGGTTGGCAGTTTGAATCCACCAGCTGCTCCTTGGAAACCTTTTGGGGAACTTCTACTCTGTGCTATACGGTCGCTATGAGCTGGAATTGACTCAACAGCAACGGGTTTTATGCCATGGGAGGAACACTGAGGCAGTAGAAGCTAGGAGGAAATGGAAACTGTAAATTAGAGAGGAGATAGGTAGCTGAGTAGGAAATTGGAAGGATAGGATATGGGAAGAGCTGAGTCAGAAGCCTGAGGGACCATCCAAACGGGCTGGATTACCAGAGTAGTTAGGCAACTAGAGCTAGTGTGCTCAGAACAGTGATGGACGACATTCAGTTATTCATTTGACTTGCCTGCTTGGTTGCTGAGATTATTTTTTTTTTATGTCCCCATTACTTGCCATGTCACTTTAAAATAAATCGCCATTAACTGAGATGACCTGAGTTGGTCTCTATTTCTTGTCCTGTGAAACAGTCTAACAAATAGCAAAGTGAAAAGAGGAAGAAAAATATGGGTCCTGAAACCTGGGAAAAGAAAATGTTTCCTTGCATTCGTTTCTCTTCTCTTTTACATGGATGTCAGAACTAAAGTTTATTCTGAATGAGATGGAAGAGATTAATTACTATTTAAGCTACTTGCTAGAGAATTTGATTTGTTTTTGAAGCTGCTTTGATCTCAGATTTAATCAAGATGGTTAGTCAGTTCACCGGTGTCAGCAGACGACTTGTGTTTTTGTCAGTCAGGTAAAATTAAGGTGTCTCATGGTGTTCCCTCAAGATATATTTGAGTCCAACATATTCAGTGTAAAGGGAAAAACAAAAACTTATTTACAATTCTTTCTTTTGTTCTTCTCATGTAGACAGAGAGTCACATGATGGAAAAATACATATAGCTCATTTGAGATGGCCAGAACGTTTTCTCTAAGCCAAAAAACAAAAAAGTGTTCAGTAGAATAAAGAAATTCAGAAATTCTACTGGAAGTGAAGTCTATTAAAATGGCTAAAGAGTAATAAAATAGTTCTCAGCCACAGTGCTTCTAGAAATTATGTTTAGTAGAGACTAATGATCAGCAAACTATGACCTTTTTTTTTTTGTAAATATATTTTGGAATGTGGTCACACCCATCGGTTTCCATATTGCTTATCCCTTTTGTTATTAATTTTTTTTTAATTATTTGATGCCATGTGTTTTCACTAATTAAGGCATGCTGATTCAAAGACTAATTTGGAATTTTTGATATGAGTTATGGATTTTAACTCATATCAGATATATCAGATGTATAACTCATATCAGATATATAATCTGGTAATACAAACCACCAATAAGGTGAGTGGCACTGTGGCACCACCGACCTGTGGTATGACAATATACCAATAAGAACTAGGTAGTTTATTGTGAGTGTCTTTCCATTAGGTTACAGGGGGAACCTCTGGTTTTCCAAATATGACACAGAAAAACCAAAACAAACCCATTAGCACTCCCTAACTTACACACACAGGAAAGCCATAATCATACCTGCAAGCCTTATCTCACAGAAATAAAAGGAAAAAAAGGCAAAAGTTTACAAAACTAACACATCCAGGAGGCATCATCTAATAGAATTCTCAACTTACACAGCAAGGAGGCTCCAACTCAGATCTGTTGAGCCTCATGCATTTCAAAACGGACCCACCTTGATGCTAAATGCATTAGAACCTGAATAACTAACTCCCTAAGAGGTCCAGAGGCATAAAAAGTGGCTGGTGTACAGTTACACCAATAGTACCAAAAGGGTTATGGCTGATTTGAGCTACAGTGGCAGAGTTGAGAAGTTGCCTCAAAGACCATGTTGCCTGTAAGTGTGAATATTTTACTTATCTGACCCTTTAGCTAAAAAAAAAAATGTGTCAATCCCAGTATAGGTGTTTGTCTCTTACTCTATAATGTTTATCCTGTGCATCTAATTTTATAATCCTATTTCATACGAGACAATCACCATGAACATCTTAAATTTTTTGGTGGTATTTGGGGGTGTAAATTATGAGAAAATAATGAATAAAACTCACCTCAAAAAGGAATTAGCAGCTACTACCTTCTGAAAGTTTTGTATCATTGTTCGGAAACAAATGAAAGTAAAAATAAAATAAACACAAAATACATGTTACAGAGGCAATGGAGAAAAGGCAGAGGGGATGCTTTCTTCAGGCAGGTTATAGAGTTGCTGTGAGTCAAAATTGACTCAATGGCACACAATTACAACAACATACCACAGTGTACTGAAATGAGCAGCAATCTGAGTTAGCAAGTAAAGCTGTCACTTATAAACCATAATGGTGGATTCAGACTGAATTTAGCATGACTTTTGGATGCGGTGTTAATTTTGAGAGCCCAGAGGATACTATTTTATCCTCAATAGCACTGATTCTAGCCTGGAACGGTCTCTCTACCCCCAAGTTCTTTCCCAAAATGTGGTTCAGATATGCTATGATGGTGCCTTTCTGACCTCCTTCCAGACCGGGCTTAGAACTTCCTGTCCTGTAGGCTTCTTAGCATTCAGATTTTCTTACCCATCTTTACACCCCCACTGCTTGAAACAGAGTTGTTAGCTACGATAGAGTTGGCTCCTGACTGATGGCAACCCCATCACAACAGTACACAATGTTGCCAGGTCCTATGCCATCCCCATGATAGGTTGTGGATGGGATCTTTGTGATACATAGGGTTTTCACTGGCTGATTTTTGAAAGTACATCACTGTGCCTTTCTTCCTAGTCCATCTTAGTCTAGAAGCTCTGTTGAAACCAGTTCAGCAGCAAGCCTTTGCTGGCAGTTGGATGACAGCTATGCATGAGGTACATTGGCTGGGAATCATGGAAGGTGAGAATTCTACCACTGAGCCACCAATGCCCCCTTAAAGAGAGTGTCTGCTCAGTAATGTTCATTCAATTGAAAATGTTACTCAAAGGCCTGAACTAATCTCTCCTTCTCCTCTTGAATATACATAATTTATTCCTTAAAGTAGTTTGGGCACCAGAAGAATTTGACACAGTATCTGCATGTACATGATGCCAAGTATGAATAAGTAGGAAAGTACACCCATTAATTTAGTTTCTGAAATAATCTGCAAATATAATATCTCAAGACAAAATACACAGATGAAATTATTTTAATTTCATTCATCTTTTACAAATAAGGGTCAGCAAACTTCTCTGTAAATGGCCAGATAGTAAATATTTTAGACCATATGGTCTCTACTGCAGCAGCATGAAAGCAGTAGACTATACTGTATGTAGAAGAATGGGCATGGAAGTAGGCAGGTTTATTTACAAAAATAGGTAGCAGGCCAGATTTGGCCTGTGGGCCATAGTTTGTGGACCCTTGCCTTAAAGAAAAAGGAGATTATAAACCATGGAAAGGCATTTTTTTTTTAGCAAATGACAATCTTCTCTATTTAAGAATTTCTACCCTCACATATAGACTGTGCAAAAACAATCATTCACCAATCGAGCAATTTCTGACAATGGAGGAGAAAAAAAAGTTACAAAGTCAGTACAAGTCCTGGTACACTAAAATAAAAACACTTATATTGCCTTAGAATATTGAAGCCTAAACCTATTCAGCATCACAAAAAAGCAGTTCTCCTGAAGACTTATCTGAGAGTCAATGTTTTGGGTGGAAAATACATTTGGAGGAGGAGGAATAATTTAATTAACTTACTGTTTGAGGAAGATATACAAGGACTGTTGGCTCACCCTGAATGATGTAATTGCTAACGACAAGTGGGATTCTAATTTAGGAGGAAGTAAAAAGAGCATGGTCTCAAGGTGGTGCAAATGGTTTGCCCTCAACTACTAATCTAAAGGTTGGCAGTTTGACCCACATGGCAGTACCATGCAAGAAAGGCCTGGCAATATGTTTCCATAAATATTACAGCCAAGGTATGTTGGAGGAATTCTAGTTTGTAACACATAGGGTTGCCATGAGTTGGGATCTACTTGATGGCAATGGCTAGATAGAGAGAGAGTGAGAAAGAGAGGACTGAGAGAGACCTGTGTGCAAATACTTCTTGACTCTCTTTCATCACATTCCTAGGCCTCAGTTTCCTTATCTGAAAGAATATGACCCACCTCCTAGAACTATTGTGAGGACTGAGTGACATGAAGTGCACACTGCAGTACCTAAATCCTGCACATGATCAAGGAATGGAGTTTCCCCCTCCCTCAGGCCTCTGAGAGTTCCATCTCTCTCAAGACACATCCATCCATCCATCTGACAAGCCCTTACTGAGGATGTATCACATTCCAGGCACTGAGCTAGGCCCAGAATGTCTATGAGAAACTAGACATCTAGAAGAAAAGGATAGTTGTATGGCAGCTGCATCTGATTTCTAGCTCTGTCACTTACTACCATCTGAAAACAACATCTGTGTGCCAGTTTCCTCTCATATACAGAAGATTGAATGATATTTCTTCTTCTTCTTTTAATCTTTAATGGGAATTTTGTGTGGAACAAAATAGACTAACAATTTCTCCAGAGCCCTGGTGGTGCAGTGGTTAAGCATTCAGCTGCTAATGAAAAGGTTGGCAGTTCAAATCCACCAGCTGCTTCTTGGAAACCCTATGGGGCAGTTCTGCTCTGTCCTATCGGGTAGCTATGAGTCAGAATCAACTCTATGACAAGTATCTCCTTCTCTGTCTGTCTATCTATTGTCTTTCTCTACTGTAAAAATCATTTACAGATACAATGAATTACTATTATTCTACGACAGGATTTCTCAACCTTGATACTACTGGCATTTTGGGTCAGAGAATCCTCTGTTGTGGAGGCCTATCTTATAAACTGCAGGATGTTTAGCACCATCACTGGCTTCTATCCAAATGTCAGAAACATCCCCCCTCATTTGTGACAACCAGTCATGTCTCCAGACATTGTCCATTGTCCCCTAGCAGGAAGAGTGTGGGGATTGCCTGCTCTCCTGATTTGGGAGCCACTGTTCTACATATCAGACAGGCTGATGGTCATGACGCCATTAGATGTACTATAAAAATAACCACGGAAGTGGATGCTTTGGCACTATGAAAACTATAACTAAAATGCTAAAAACATGTAAACCTGTTGCCATCGAGTCAATTCTGATTCATAGCGATCCTATAGGACAAAGTAGAACTGCCCCATAGGGTTTCCAAGGAGGGGCTGGTGGATTTGAACTGCTGACCTTTTGGTTAGCAGCCAAAGGCTTAACCACTGCCCACCAGGGCCCCAAAAACATGTGTATAGGGCAGTAAAACAGGGCTTTTTAGTCAGTTCCAGCTGAGGCCTAAAACTGATAACAAAGACAAGAATTTCCATGCATTCTAAAGAAATATATCAAATCGTTTATGTGAAGAGTTATCTAGCGAAACGGCCTACCACCTGTGTCAAGCATATATAAAGAACAAGTTGACAAGATTTAAAAGAGCAATGGCCAGAAAACAAATTTCTGCCTGCACTCTACTGAGTCTAACCCATTTGCAATAAAACAACTCCACAGGATATAAATAAAACAGTTTCTAGTTCATCAATAATAATAAAAATGCTACCGACCCATCCTTGTTGTTTTTCTTATATTTGGGAGAAAACTGTGCTGAGTTAGTCATACGCTCTCACTTTAGGAGAAATAAGAAACATTTCTAATACCTATGCTAAACAAGTCATCATCGGAAGTCTGTTCATACCATCTATTTTTATATATTCTCAATAGTGATCAAAAAAATCTTTTTTGTTTTTCAGTATTCTTCCTGGCCAGCCGAATCGTTTTTCCTTCAGAATAACTCGGTTGGAGAGAAAATTACCTCCCACGTAATGACGAGTTCAGACCGACTTCCTCCACCTCCATTGATGTTTGTTGGCGCCACTACTGGGACTAAACACAATGAAGAGAAGAAAAGGTTGACAATCACTAAGGTACGTCTTCCCTGGGAAGAACTTTGTTTTTGGATTTCACCTTTCAAAAGCTCACGCAGGGGCATTGTGAGAATGCCTTGCATTTTTAATGAACATAAATTATGTTTACCCTTATCCAAATTTCTGAGAGAGAGGAGACAGTTGTGTTTAATACATGAACACCCTGGCTCCAAAATTAATCAAAAATCGAGTAACATTGTGTAGTTGACATTATTATGCATCATCTACTAACTGGCAAAATGCTGTTCCATTCAGATGGTAACAGTGACACTGTTGATTTAGTGCCTAATTATACAGTTGTGCTGTAAACAAGTTACTGAGGCAGTGTATTAATTAATTCTTTTTTTTAAATTAACAAACTAAAATAATATTTCTTTTTGTGAGTCATCAGGATATTTTAACACATAAAAATAAATTTAAAAAAATGGAAATAATGAATTCGTGTTTAAACCTCCATGTTTTAATCTCAGACCTCTCAGGACAGAACAAGAAGGAGTTTTCCTCTAATATGTCACTCAGAAAGTCAGTAAATTTTCTCCTGTCACGCTATGGAGATTCCCTGTTTAAAGTTAGGATTCTAAGGCTCTGTGGAAGATATCTCATACACTGATCAATTTTATAAATTAGAAAAAATATGCCCTACGAACATAACCTTGTGATGACTAGGGTAATGAATAATAGTTCAAGGCAAATTGACAAAAAATTGATTACAATTGTGAGTGTGTATGGGAAGAGTATTGTAGTTTTATCATCAGTAGGGGGTTTTACTTTACATATGTGAAAGTGTTAAAAAGCAGTGTTTTCTCCTGACATAATGGCAAAAGTATTCTATATCTATGATAATGGATAAATCTGAAGAATATAGTTTTTTAAGTGTAGAATTATGTGAAA